CTGACCGGACTAAACCTCTGAACGGGGAAGTAGATGACATAAGGAGATGATGAATGATACTCCCTTCCCATCATTACTGTTTTTTTTTTCCCCCTTTTGTTTAAGATAGTTCAAAACTTTTTGATCAGAGGGGAAAATTCTTTCAAATGGGCTCATGAAAAATAGAATTAAAAGATGAATTGATTTTCGTGCCAACAAATGTTGAAATCCATGCATATGAGGGATTTTCAAAAAGTACATGGAAATGCATATTGTGGGGCTGGTGTTGTGGCACTGCGGGTAAGGCCGCCTGCCTCCTGCAGTACTGGCGTCCCATATGGGCGCCAGTTCAAGTCCCGGCTGCTCCACTTCTGATCCAGCTCTCTGCTATGCCCTGGGAAAGCAGTAGAATATGACCCAAGTCCTGGGGCCCCTGCACCATGTGGGAGACCCGGAAGAAGCTCCTGGCTCCTGGCTTCAGATCGGCACAGCTCCGGCTGTTGCAGCCAATTGAGGAGTGAACCATTGGATGGAAGACCTCTTTCTCTCTGCCTCTCCTTCCCTCTCTGCCTCTCCTTCTCTGTGTAACCCTGACTTTCAAATACATAAATAAATATTTTAAAAATGCATATTATGAGAAACCTTATGCATGAATTTCAAAATTTATTGCACTGCAATGAACTTTTAATTCTATTTTCCTATGAACTTCTTGAAGTATTCTTGCATTTCCTCAGATGTTCAAATTAGACCCAGATGCCTCCTTTGCTTTGCAGATCAGTTATTTATTTATTTATTTTTCCTGCAGGCTTTATTCCTGAAGGTTTCATTTAAGACAGAGCTCTGTGTAGACGGTGGTCAGACAAACAAAGTTCTTCCATATTAGTTCTTGACTGGCACATGATTACAAAGGGTTCTTTGTTGTGGTGGGTTAATCAGGTTGTTCAAGGCTGGGTTGGGAAAATACTAGCCTTTACAGTTTCTTCCTCCCAAGTGGTACATAAGTACCTTCCAAAATAGCTGTAGAATGGAGATGGGTAAGCCAGATTGATAGTCACTGTAATGGAGTAGCAGGCAGAAAGGGAGAGCGAAGGCTTCAGCAGATTATTATAGTTGGAGCATAAGAACGTTGGTGGAACTGCTGGCATTTTCTCTGTGGCATCGACAGATGTGCTGCCAGTGCACAAAGGTATTGCTTATGCATTGGAATTTTACTTCAACTCCTTGGCAATATCATTGAAGTTCTACCTGAACCTCTTAGGTGATGGCTCTTGGACTAAGATGTACTCACAAAGGCTTTTGTTTCTTTTCTTAAAAAAAAAAAAAAAAAAGATTTATTTATTTATTTATTTGAAAGAGTTACACAGAGAGACAGAGAGAGAAACAGATTGAGATCTTCTATCTGCTAGTTCACCCCCCTGATGGCTGCAGGGGCTGGGGCTGGGTGTGGCCAGACAGAAGCCAGGAGCCAGGAATTTCTTCTTGATCTCCCATGTGGGTGGCAGAGGCCCAAGCACTTGGGCCATCTTCTGCTGCTTCTCCCAGGTCATTACAGGGCTCTGGATCAGAAGTGGAGCAGCCGGGACACAACCGTTCCAATAAGGGATGCTGCTGTTGCAGGCAGAGGCTTTACCAGCTACACCACATTGCTGACCCTCTTTTCTTTCTTAAAAAAATTATTTAGGTTCATTTTTTAAAAAAAGATTTATTTGTTTATTTACTTGAACATCAGAGTTACACACAGAGAGAAGGAAAGGCAGAGAGAGAGAGAGAAGAGAGAGAGAGGGATCTTCCATCCACTGGTCCACTCCCCAACTGGCTGCAACAGCCAGAGCTGAGCCAATCTGAAGCCAGGAGCCAGGAGCTTCTTCCGGGTCTCCCACACAGGTGCAGGGGCCCAAGGACTTGGGCCGTCTTCTACTGCTTTCCCAGGCCATAGCAGAGAGCTGGATTGGAAGTGGAGTAGCTGGGACTCAAACCAGCATCCATATGGGATGCTGGCACTGCAAAAGGCAGCTTTACCTGCTACGTCACAGTGCTGGCCTGTTTCATTTTATTTGAAAGGCAAAGAAATAGGCTGGTGTTGTGGCACAGTGGGTCAAGCTGCTGCCTATGACACTGACATATAAATCCATATAAGTCCCAGATTGCCCTACTTCTGATTCAGCTCCCTGTACTGCTTTCCTGGGGAAGCAGTGGAAGATGGTCCAAATATTTTGGCCCCTGCCACCCTTGTGGGAGACCCAGATGGAATTCCAGGCTCCTGGCTTCAGCTTTGCCCACCCCTGGCAGTTGTGGTAATTTTAGAAGTGAACCAGGAGATGGAAGATCTGTTTCTCTCTGAAACTGCCTTTCAAAAAAGTAAATCAGAGAGAGAGAGAGAGAGAGAAAGAGAGAAATGAGCTTCCAGGCCAGAACTCCATCAAGGTCTCAAGGACTCATCACCTGCTGCTTCCCAGGGTGCACATTAGCAGAAAGACTGGATTAAGGCTTTACTTCTTCAAATTAAAAAATGTATTGCTCTATGTTTGGCATAGAAGTTGAATGCCCACATCCCATTTTAGAGTGCATGGGTTTGAGTCCTGGATCTGCTTCTGTCTTTGGCTTCCTGCTGATTTCATACCCTTTGAGGCAGCAGACAATGGCTCATTGGAGACCCTGATTAGGTTATGGGCTCCTGGCTTTGGCCCGGCTCTGCCCTTGACATTGAGGGTATTTGTTGAGTGAAACAGCAGATGAAAATCTCTCCCTCTGCCTTTCAAATAGATAAAAATAAATTTTAAAAAATGTATTGCCTAATAACAAACAGCTCACTGTTTAACTTTGCTCAGAGTCATCTAGTTCCTGTATAAGAGCTTGAAATATCAAAGGGCTTTTCGGTGAGAAATACGTTTGATAGTTAAAGGTGAAATTTTTAGGCTCTCTAAAACAACTGGTAAAAAAGGCAATTTTCCCCCCAAGAAAAACTCTTAAGTCCTTTGCTCACTCCATTATGTAACCAGTCAGAGGTCAATTCTGCTGATACAGGGCTTTTTCAGTCACTGAATATGTTTTGACACCTGACTTTGTGCTAGGGTTTGTGTTGGGCATCCAAAGACTTCTTCTAGCCTCAAGAAACTTATAATCTAGTAGAGAAATAGTTTTTTTTTTTTTTTTTTCGACAGGCAGAGTGGACAAAGAGAGGGAGACAGAGAGAAAGGTCTTCCTTTTGCCGTTGGTTCACTCTCCGATGGCCGCTGTGGCCAGTGCATCGCGCTGATCCAAAGCCAGGAGCCAGGTGCTTCTCCTGATCTCCCATGCGGGTGCAGGGCCCAAGCACCTGGGCCATCCTCCACTGCACTCCCGGGCCATAGCAGAGAGCTGGCCTGGAAGAGGGGCAACCGGGACAGAATCCGGCGCCCCGATCGGGACTAGAACCCGGTGTGCCGACGCCGCAGGTGGAGGATTAGCCTATTGAGCCGCAGCGCCGGCCAGAGAAATGGTTTTAAAACTCACAAAATGTCAAAGCATATTGATTGGAATGGGGCAGCGCAATAAAAAAGTTTAATGCATGTCTCTAAATCTGCCCCTGGTGGAGACTAAAGTTTTCCAGAAAAGGCAGCATTTATTTTTTTTAAAGACTTATTTATTTGAAAGGCAGAGTTACAGGTCTCCCAAGTCGGTGGCAGTGGGCCATCTTCGGCTGCTTTTCCTCGCGCATTGGCAGGATCAGAGGTGCCGGCCCCATACTATGTTAAGGCTTGGAATGTCGGCCCAGTTGAGGAGCCGCCTGGTCCTTGTTGGAGTGGACACAGCTGCAAGGTGGTGCAGTACAGCGCTAGTCTAAGACCAGACACCTAAAGAAGGGTCACAGCTCCAGGATTTCTGTGCGCCATGTAAGAGGTTTTTTTTTTTTTTTTTTTAATTAATTTATTTATTGGATAGGCAGAGTTACAGAGAGGGAGAGACGGAGCGAGATCTTCCACCCACTTGTTCACTTCCCAAATGGCCGCAGAGGCGGGGGCTGGAGCAGGCAGAAGCCAGGAGCTTCTTTCGGGCCTCCCACGTGGATGGGTGCAGGGGCCCGAGGACTTGGGCCATTTTGGCTGCTTTCCCAAACGCATTAGCAAGGAGCTGGATCGGAAGTGGAGCAGCCAGGCCTCCAACAGGTGTCCATATGGGATGGCGAGGCCACTGGTGGCAGCTTAACCCGCTATGCCACAGTCCTGGCATGTAAGCGTTTTATTTGAGTCTAGTGCAGAGTTGCTGATAGGGCTCTGATAACCATCTACACTAGACTAATGATGCCATTGAAATCTTCCTTAAGGAAACAGGCAGGTAATACATGCTGGGAAACATCATCCCTCTCTAATCACGTCTGTTTTGGCAGCGGTGGTGCATTAATTCAGAGAATTAATCGTTCATGAGTCACGCGCAAGACTGTCAAAGTTGGGCAATTCCTAGTCCTCTGGAGCCATCAGTTTCCCGAGCCCAGGGGCAGGGTTGGAAGCCTCGCATTCCTTCCCTCCCCGTCCTTGGGAACCCTGGGGTTAGGAAGGCGACGGTGGGGGTGGGGACGGGTGCGGAGGGCCCTGGGAGGCCAGGCACATTACCTAGGGCTTAGGAGCGAATGGGCTGCTCCTAGCCAGAAGGACTGGCCGAGCCTGCAGGGCGCTGAGCCGTCGAGAATCTGCGCACCTCCCTCCCCCACCTCACGCAATTCTTCGCAGTCTTTGCTCAGCCGTCTTTCTCTATTCCACCCTGACTTGATCCCCCCCGCCCCGCCCCAGGATCTCCTCGGGGGGGCCGGAGCTTGATAACATTTCCATCCTCCTCTTTCCCTCACTCCCTGTCAGGCTTAGAGTTCCGTTCTCCCGCACCGTCCGGTCCCTCCCACGGCTCGCCCCAGAGCGGGCGGCTCCAGGAACCTGAGGCGGATGCAGGCAGCCACGAGTCGCTGCCACGTCTCCGCCGCCAGCCGTCCAGCGCCTGCGTGGACCTGAGGGGCGGGGCGGCATTGGGAGGCGGGACCTACGCGTGAGCGGCGCCGACGCGGCCCAATGGGGCGTGCCGGCGGCGGCGCGGTGCGCGCCGAGGGGCGGGGCCCGGCGGCGGTTGCTGGCCGAACCCGGGAGGTGGAGAAGCCTGTCGCTGCTTCGGCCGTCGCATCCCCCAGGGAGTCGTGTCGCCGTTGCCCCGGCCCCCGAGCCCACGATCGCCCCCGGAGCTCGTGTCTGTGTGCCTCACCCCGCCAGCAGCTCGTCTCTTGCCTTGCGGACCGCGCCTCTTCCATCATGTGCGGTAAGGGGGCCGCGGGCGGGGGGCGTGTTGCGGGGCGGTGCTGGAGTGCGGTGTGGACGCCGCTGAGGCCCGAGGCGCCCGCGGCGAGCGGGGTGTGGAGAGTGTGAAGTCTGCGTGATGGGCAGGGGGTCGTCCTGCGGCGCTTGCGGGTGCTGGCCGCGGAAGGGGGTGGCTCCGAGGAGGGCACCTGAGAGAAGGGCGGGCCCTGGAGGGAGCGGGAGCGCCCAGGGGGCGCCTTGGGCGGAGAAGAAACCCGGGGTGGGGGAGCGAGAGATGCCAGTATTGAAGGAGGGGGGGAGGGCTGAAGCTACTGAGGCACGCAGGGGGTGCCTTCAGCCCTGCGCCAGGTGAGTTAGGCAACCTGTGGAACATCGGGCCAAGTCTCTTGAACTTACCTTGCATTCTTCTAGGATTTACTCTTCAGTATACGTGCATGTATTTAGCTGCTTTCTCTGGGCTCAGACTGAAGCTAGAGCTAGTACAGTAACGTTATACAGAAGCTTACTTCCTGTCACCCCCCCCCCCCCCGCCAGAAACCATTGCTGATCAATATCTTGGTGAATGGGCTTAGACCTGGTCCTTTGGTGAAAAAGGCCGGAAAATGCCCTTGGTGCTAGATCCTACATCGCCGATCACTTGCCTGTGCACCCTTTAAAAATGCTATGAAAAATGTTAATCATTTGTCACTTGCATGTGCCACCGTTTAAAATATTAGCTATGAAAAATTTAACAAATGTCTTTCATGAAACAGTTAAAAAAATAGGTCCTTTTATTCCCTGTTTTGAGGGTTAGTCGTTTTATTGTTACCTGGAAGTGTTAGTAAAAGGGATTTTGAGTATTATGTCTGGTATGATTGATGGACTCAAAATTGGAATTAACTTGGCCATTGTCAAGAAAGAGAATTGTATTCTAACTTTTCTAATTGAAGTTCACAACTGACTCTACCCCTGGAAAAATGAACACTTTTTAAAGGGCAGTGGGATTGTGGTGGAGTTCAGGCTGTTTGGAAGCTAATTTGCAGCCTCTTGCGTGAAGGAACTGAGAGCAGGAGGTAAATTGTACTCATTGGTGTATATTTTTCCCGTGTTTAACTTTATGCTCATTTCAGCTTCTGAAAATGAGGAGCTGGTTTAAATTTAGATTAGATAAAAAAAAAAACCCACATAAAAACAGAAACACCTATAAATAGCTTACTGAAATTATTAGAGGAGAGCTGACTTCAGAATCTATTACTTTTCCTATGTCTAGTTAGTAGAATGGTTCCACAAAGCACATAATTTATTTTATTGCTGTGAAATACTGAATTTGCAAACCAGTTAATCCTGGGTGTGCTTTATTTGGTAACTAGCTGTTCCTAAATGATGAGGTATGTGCCTAGTCAAGTACCTGACATTCTTGTTGCAGTTCGTTTCCTCATCTCGTCCAGGAAAAAGGGGAGTCAAAGTACTGTAAAGTTAAAAAAAAAAAATCAGATCCGATTTCAAAAAGGAACACACAAGGATGAGACTTTTAGGGTAGAGACCAAATGTTGGGAGTTTTCCCTTAGTCAATATAGCATGTCCATTCCAGAGGGTATTTTTTTTTAATTTAAAAATGTATTTATTTGAAGGGCAGAGAGCGAGCGAGAGTAAGAGTGAGAGAGCGAGGGAGAGAGAATCTCCTGTGTACTGGTTCGCTCCCCAAATGGCTGCAACAGCCAGGATCTTCATCTGGTTCTCCCCCATGGGTTCAGGGGCCCAAGGACTTGGGCCAGCCATCTTCTGCTGCCTTCCCAGGCATATTAGCAGGAAGCTGGATTGGAAGTGGAGGACTGGGACTTTAATTGGCACTCATGTGGAATGCCGGCATCCCAGGCAGTGGCTTAACCCACTGCACCACAATGCTGGCTCCACTCCACAGAATTTTATTGCTAAAGAACAGGTTATAGGGGCTGGCTCTGTGGAGTAGTAGGTTAAACCTCCGCCTGCGGTGCTGGCATCCCATCTGGGCACCTGTTTGAGTCCTGGCTTTTCCACTTCTGATCCAGCTCCCTGCTAATGTGCCTGGAGAGGCAGTTGAAGATGGCCCAAGTTGTTGTGGGAGACCAGAAGAAACTGCTGGCTGCTGGCTTCGGATCAGCTTAACTTTTGCCATTGAGGCCATCTGGGTAGTGAGCCAGCAAATAGGAGAGCTCTCTCTCTGTCTCTCCTTCTCTCTCTGTAACTCTGCCTCTCAAATAAATAAATAAATCTTTAAAAAAAAAAAACAAACCATGTTATAGAATATAAATTTTAAAAAGCCCAGTATTTGAGGCATTTCTGAGATCCTATTTTTAATCCAGACTGGACTTTTGGATGATTCCAAGAATGGTGATCATAATTTATTTCCTCTCTAATGTAATGTAAACTCTGGAAGATAGCAGTTGAGAAGGTGACTTTATCCTTGTTACTTTTTTCCCACATCATAATAATTGAAATAACATTTCTAGGTAGAGAAATGGAGTGGGCATGAAATTAAATGGAAAAATTTAAAGATTTACCTCCTGATTACCTTCTGCCAGTCATTTTCCTAAAAGATTATTTTGTTTGAACATTGCAAAATGTTGAAGCAGAGAATGAGGACTAAAGTTACTGTGATGTGTTGTGTGTTGTTTTTTTTTTTTTTTGATTTAGAAGCAAGATTTATTAGAGTCAAAGACCTCCAGCCAGAGTGGCATGGAATGGGGCTTCCAAGAGAGGAACAAACCCTAAGTGGTCTTTGGCAGTCAAATTTTTAAGCACAATTTTGATTGACATTCAGTTATAAGGCAGAGACAAAACCCAACAAAAGACCTGATTTATAATCTTTTATCCTATTTGGCTTGCTCATGATAAAACAAAAAAACCATTCAGAAGGGTGGGATAGGTAACTTGTTTTGTGATGTGCTTTTTAACATCTGGGTATACTGATAGAACTGCTACAATGTTTATCAGTTTATTGGAACATAAATTTTTCTGTAGTCAGGTAAATCCCAGCAGCAACAGATTTAATAGTGTTTTTTTTTTTTTTTTAAACTTGGAGGATTCTTGCACTCTTTAATGTGGTAATAATAAGCATTGTGAATCTCCCAGAAAATTAGTTGTTTCTTTTCCAAATTTATTTTATCTTCCTTTTATTTTTGGAGTACACTGTATCCTTATTATTTGTGATATCTTTGGTTTAGCTGAGAGGGTGTCAGGGCACTTAAGCTACACCCCAAGTTTAGCACATTTTGCTGTTTTATGATGGGGTTTTGCCTTTTTGATCTGATGGTGTATATAAATGAGATTTTTGTAAATGAGGTCCTTTTTAAAAGCAGTAAGAGAATTTGCAATTTAAAATCCTGAACTAAGTCCTTAAGAAAGTTTTTTTTTTGGGTCATAATACTGTCTAATAGCTTTGGGGATAATTGAGGGGTGCCAAGACTGGCTGCTAGGATTAGTCATAAAACCAGTAATGTTAATATATCCTCAGAACTCATACTGGATATAAAGAAGTGTGAGAGAAAATAATTAATTGCTTAATAAGCATTTCCGCAGTTGTACTCCCTGGAAAGGAAGAAGTTAATAGGTTTTGCTCATGAGCAATAGAAGGTGGGAAAGGGTTTGGTAACACAAGTTTGGGAAATTCTGCTGCTGGAGATTGACAATTAGCAAGATCAGAAATTCTAGGAAGTTCTGAAAATAAATGTTAACTTCTCCCCAGTATGTCTTAAACTTTTAGTTATGAAACATTTCTTTCCCTCATCCCTTTTTGGCATCCTGTGAAACAATGTTGTGTTTCTGTGATTTGGGAATTTTTGTTTGAATATATTTAAGGTGTCTAGAAAGTGTTAGAGGATACTTGGAGATATTTAAAGTGATGGTTTTATACTTGGCACTCTTGCCTTTGAAGAGACACCTAAAGTAAGGGAGTTACCTTTAAGGAATTGCTGTCTCGTCAGAGAACATAAAAGGAATGCACATGCACTAGCTGTAGGTGATAATTCACAGTCCTTGTTCATTGCCATGTCATAAACCACAAGTGGAATGAGCAGAAATTCAGAGACCAGAGAACTCTGGGCTGGGCGTCTGGGTTAGGATGATGGGACAGTTCTCTTAGGTGGAGGAATAGTGTCAGCTGGTAGAGAATTAGTGCATGAGGAGAGGTGATCATTCATGGCATGTGTTACTCATCACCAGATGGAGGCAGAAATAGATCGAATACTACTGCCAGTAGTGTTGAAATAGAAGTGCCAGGAAGAGAGATCAAAGAACAATGGTTAGAGGCAAGAGTTCCAGGGTAGTGTATTGCCTTGGAAGTCTACAAAAGTAGAAAGGGATCATTCATGTTAATATCACAGAGAGAAGTTAATTGCATTTGGTTATAAAGAAGTCATTGGAGAAGTTGTGTATGTGAAGGCAGAAAGGAGGAGGGTGGCATGTGATACCGACAGAGGGAAGGGAGTATTGTGGGACTGAGTTTCTTTCTCCCACAATGGCTGGGGCTGCACTGGGCCCAAAGGGCTAGAGCTTGGGAACTCCATCTGTGTCTCCCACATGGGTGGCAGGAATCCAGTTACTTGAGCCATTGCCGCTACTTCCTAGGCTCTCCATAGGTGAGAAGCTCAAGTCAGGAGCCAGAGAAGGGAATCAATCCCAGGCACTCTGGTGTGGAACGCAAGACTGGCTTATCTCCTAGATTAAATGCCTATTATTGCCCCAGATTTTTAACCTAACTCAGTTAAGCCTTAACTCTGTTTTCCAGCTTATAGGATAGAGGAACTGATTAGACCACACTAGGTGGAAACAGACCCAGCCTGAAAGTGAGGCATTAAACAAGAAAGGTAGCTCAAGCAGTGGGGATACCATTCTGGATTCAAAGAGACCTAAGAACCATACCAGTCAAGTGTGAGGTGTGATCTTTAAGTGGATGCTAGAATGAACAAACTATCTGTGAAAGACTTTAAAAAAAAAATGATAGGGAGAATTTGAATGTGGACATTGTATTAGGTGATGATAGAG